AGTCAAAAGGTACCAAGTAACAATGATTAGGGACAGGTGAATAGACATTGGAAAGGTCCACACAACATAACAGCAGAAGATAAGATGGTTAGATAGCATCACTGACTCAATGGACATGAATCTGAGCAAATTACGAGAGAGAGTGGAAAACAGAGGAGCTTTGTGTGCTATAGTCCACAGGATCCCAAAGAGTCAGACAAAATGACCTAGTGACTGAATGACAACAACAAACATAACAAAGATTTCAATAAAGTAGTTGATGCTCATATAAATACACAAATAAATATATACTCATATGAAAATATATATATAAATTTTTAACTCATATTTTGCTTCTATTTTACAACTAATGTTTATTCTCACAATAGGCTGGCTTTTTTTTTTTTACAGTGTACTTGCTTATTTGTGCTCTTATAATAATTAAGAACAGGGGCTATAATGCAAACTGACCTGGGTTTGAGTCCTAGCTTTCTTACTTTCTAGCTCTGTGATTTTTAGCAAATTACTTAAATATTCTAAGCCTTAATGTCCTTTACTGTAGAATGTGGGTAATAGAATGTTACCATATAGATTAGAGTGGGGATTAAATAAGATAAAATGTAATATAAAGTGCCAGAATAGTCCTTGGGGCAAAGGATGTGCTTAGAAAATAGTACATATTAATATAAATGGTCATTATTAAACTTTTATAGACCTTTACAATACCTCTCTGCATATCATATTGTGTTTAGTAATTCCTGTACTAAACTAGAGTTTCATTAGTCCTTCTCACCACAGCTAATGGGTATACACTTTGTGGTAGTAGTCATGGTAATACTAAAATCCAGCCTAGCCTGAGAGATGTCACTTGTTCATTCAGAGTTTCTTGCTTGGCTGGCTTCTCATCTGTTCAACTTCCAAGCTTTTTACTCTGGAAAATTTCTCTTCTCTGTATTAAGTGGCCTTAAGTGCTGTCATAAGTCAAAAGATCTGAGAGCTAAAAACAAGTAGAGTATTCTTAGAGTCTTCAATATTCCAGATGAATCAGAAATGAATCTACTGAGAGATGCTGCACATCTCCATAAATACCAAATGTCAATCTGTGGAAGTTTAGTGTGTATGGGTGTGTGTGTGTGTGTGTGTGTATGGGTGTGTGTGTGTGTGTGTGTGTGTGTGTGTGTGTGTGTGGGTGTGTGTGTGTGTATAAAATGGTCCCCTGCAACCAAACATTGACAGAGTTATACTTCACTCAGATAGTTCCACTAATTTTAAGTGGTAAATGGAACCTTTCAGTAGTCGTATTCCCTTTCCATTAGAAAAGTAATTTTAGCTACTGAGATTCAGTCCCTGAAATCAGGACCCTGGGACAGGGGGAAAGTGTAGTCCTCAAATGCACTGGGTGCACTGAACTGGTGTTAAATATAGCTCAGCATCAGTAAGAGGGGGTTCACATATTCTGTATCTGATGTGATCCCTGTCACAGCATCATAGCTAATAAAATTAACAAAGTTCTGCTGAGCTCAACATTATACCAGGATGAATGGCTGGGTCTTTTCAAGGGAAAGTGTTAGTTGTGTCTGATTCTTTGCGACCCCAAGGACTGTAGCCCACCAGGCTCCTCTGTTCATGGGATTCTCTGGGTAAAACTACTGGCGTGAGTAGCATTCCCTTCTCCAGCGTACCTTCCCAACCTAGGGATCGAACCTAGATCTCCTACATTGCAGTCAGATACTGTTTGAATCACCAGGGAAAATTCAAGGGAAAGAGGACTCAAAGTAGAGGAAAGAAGACAGGCATATTCAAGGTGTGCTGGAAGGACCCAGTCTTTCAAAACCCTACCCTTCCTATACTGCCCTGCAGTGAGGAGGGAGGTAGGTCATTTAGTCCCAAGTTTCAGGAGCCTCAGCCACACCTTAATATGAGTTTGTATCACCTCAGACCTCCTCTGGAAAGGCAGCATTGACAGCGAGGCACTCTTGCCATGGAAAGGGAACTCAGACATAGACTGGACTTGGGTTTTCAGAGGAGAGAGCAAATCCAAAAGGGAAGTCACAAAGAGATAAAAGGGTTTGAGTGCTTTCTAAGGACGCAGATTAGTGACTGTGTCAAGGGTTGGCTTGAGGAAGCTTTAGGGATCCCTAAACCCTCATCATTCTACTCCCCCGAAGCCACACATTAAGCATACAAATTAACTTTGTGGTTTCAACTCTGACTGCAGGTCAGAATCACTGGAGAGGTTTCAAGTGATACACAAGACCAGTTAAAGCAGGATATCTGGGCTTGGGGCCCAGGCATAGTTTTCTGGTTTATTTCTTAAGTTCCCAGAGTGACTACAATGTTGAACAGATTGAGATCCAGCATCTAAGTGAACATGATGTCCATGTCCTGAAAACATAGACTCAAGGCAATTCTTCCAACCAGCTGACCGCTCTTGCCCTCCACCAAAGTATATATTAAAGTTAGCAGTGCCATGAACTGCCTTCTTTTCTAATTTTGGAGTTAAGTTTTCTCAGATTCATGTAGAATGTTGCAAACCCCAGTCTCTCTGTTCTAGCCAAATCTGGTTCTTTAAAGAAAAACATTTGTCAACCCTTAAATGACAGTCATCTCAGCTTGCGTCTAAGAGTAGCATTACTACTATCTTGTAAGAGTTGAGCACTCTTCTAGATGTTTCACATACATATCACTAATGCTTATAACTCTGCAGAGTATATACTACTGTACATTTCCAAAATATATCTAGAATCTCTCTTCTTCCTCCACACACTGCCTCCATCTTAATCCCAGCCACCATCATTTTGTCATTCCACCTACTGCAACAGCCTCTTGCCTTCAACCTTGCCCTATTCAGTATATTCTCTACTCAGGGTGGTCTTTGAAAAGCAGAAGGAAGGCTGCTTAAAGTCCATCAGTGGCTTCCATCCTTCTTGGAATAAAAGCTAGACTCCTTCTCAAGACCTGCAAAGTCCTGCCTGATTCAGATCCAGCTTCAACCCCACTTTCATTCTGAGCCTTTCTTTCCCTTGCCTACTGTGCTCACACCGACCCACTTCTAGTTTGAGAGCTGCTATCTTATTCAAGTGTGATTCTTCCACATAGAACTCCTGTCCTGACTCCCTTCAGTCCTGCAATGTGCAACTGGACTATCACCTCCAAAGAGAAGTCTTCTCTCCTCACCATTTAAACAGCCACCCACTCTGGCTCCATATGTTTTCTCTTGCTCGGCTCTATTTGTTTCCTTCACCAGACTCACCACACTTGGCAAGTATTTACTGTAGAGTTACTAGTTTTGTCTGGTTCTCCCACTGGGCTGTCGGGGATCTCACCCCATCTCTCCTAGTCACCAAAGTACCCACAGTGCTTTGTTCAATGCCTGGTACTTAGTCATTTTGTAATAAATATTTCTTGGATGAACAAAGAAGCCCAATTTACAGATATCAAATAAGCTAATTAACCTGCCTGAGATCAAAGCGCTACAATGACTATTACAGCAGTCTGTCCCTCAGAAGGAAAAGAACATTTTACTGGTGTTTATATAGCAGTTTCTCTCTCTCTTAAAAAAAAAAAAATCACAAAGAAAGCAACAGTTAGAGCTGGATATGGAACAACAGACTGGTTCCAAATAGGAAAAGGCATCAAGGCTGTATATTGTCACCCTGCTTATTTAACTTATATACAGAGTACATCATGAGAAATGCTGGGCTGGAAGAAGCACAAGCTGGAATCAAGATTGCCAGGAGAAATATCGATAAATATCAATAACCTCAGATATGCAGATGACACCACCCTTATGGCAGAAAGTGAAAGAGTAGAGTGAAAAAGTTGGCTTAAATCTCAACATTCAGAAAACTAAGATCATGGCATCTGGTCCCATCACTTCATGGCAAATAGATGAAGAAACAGCGGAAACAGTGGCTGACTTTATTTTGGGGGGCTCCAAAATCACTGCAGGTGGTGATTGCAGCCATGAAATCAAAAGAGCCTTACTCCTTGGAAGGAAAGTTAAGGTCAACCTAGACAGCATATTAAAAAGCAGAGACATTACTTTGTCAACAAAGGTCCGTCTAGTCAAGGCTGTGGTTTTTCCAGTAGTCATGTATGGATATGAGAGTTGGACTATAAAGAAAGCTGAGCACCAAAGAATTGATGCTTTTGAACTGTGGTGTTAGAGAAGACTCTTGAGAGTCCCTTGGACTGCAAGGAGATCCAACCAGTCCATCCTAAAGGAATTCAGCACTGGGTGTTCATTGGAAGGACTGATGCTGAAACTGAAATTCCAATATTTTGGCCACTTGATGTGAAGAACTGACTCATTTGAAAAGACTCTGAAGCTGGGAAAGACTGAGGGCAGGAGGAAAAGGGGACGACAGAGGATGATATGGTTGGATGGCATCACCGACTCAATGGACGTGAGTTTGGGTAGACTCTAGGAGTTGGTGATGATCAGGGAGGCCTCGCATGCTGCAGTTCATGGGGTCGCAAAGAGTCGGACAGCACTGAGCGACTGAACTGAACTGAACTGAACTATCCTGAAGACCTTAAATGACTGTAACTGTCCTGGATCTCCTTTGTTCCATGTGTCAGCTAAACCACAGAAGTGACTATCCCTGTTCTAAGCACATCAAGCTGGCAGCTTGAGGTTAAGAGGGTTTTGCACCAGTGGAAATCCTTAAACTGTGCAAATGTGCTCATCTCAAAGCACTTGTCTTAAGTGTTTTCTATCCTGCCCAATGAGAAGTTTCTGTGTTTTATCAGGTTGAAATCCAGCTGAGCCACTGATAATGCCAAGGGGGGATGTGACCATTCACCTATCATCAAATTCTCTTCTATTGCTATCTTGGAGAAGGAAATGGCTACCCACTCCAGTATTCTTGCCTGGAGAATTCCATGGACAGAGGAGCCTCATGGACGACAGCCCATGGGGTTGCAAAGAGTCAGACACGACTTAGCAACTGAGCACGTTACTAGCTTGGGCACTGGAGTTGAGTTTCTGATGGTTGGATCTGCCAAAAATTTCTCACCTGCACAGTTTTGCTGTGGCTCCCAGTGGACACTGATGCCCTCTCTCTGGCAGGCCCGGGTATATGCCAGGAATGATTCGCAGTAACAGTTTTTATGGACTGGACATTCACACATGTCTGTCACGCAGGACCTAAGAGACCAACAGAAAGAAGTGAACATTCAAAAATATCAAATTACTAAGTATCCTAAATACAACTGAAGAAAAGCGGTGGGTGAGTGAATGTCAAATCTTGTCTAGACATTTAAGACTGTTATTTTAAATTGGAAACCTAAAAATGGTATTTAAAATACTGCATGAAACCTTACTGGATACCTCTGAATAATGTGACATCAGTTTCTCTTTCTTCTAGAGCAGGACAGGTCAATAGGACTTTCTTAATGATGGAAATAGTCTATAGTCTCCACTGTCCGAAGTTATAGCCACTCATCATATCTGGTCAATTAGCACTTGAAATGTATCCAGTGTGAATGAAAAACCAAATTTTTTATTTGATTGAATTTTAATTAACTTCAATGTAAACAGTTACAAATGTCTATTTGTTACCACGCTGGGAACACAGCTCTTAGAATACACCGCTATTCAAGGAGCTGCCATTTTGTGAGTAGCTCTGACATATGAGTAATAAGCTCTATTACGATATAACTGAAATAGTGACCAATTTGATAAGAATATCAAATCCCTTGGCTTTCTGAAGACATTCAATTAGGATTCACTTTTCCAGTATCTTAGAATCTTAGTCTTTTGAGGAACACTGATCCTCGTTCTTTAGAATGTGGGGTGACAAATTCCAAATAAAGCAAAACTTTCAGGCCACTAATTAGACTGAAAGATACAGGAGATTGAGCCAAGGTCCTTGTTTTGCTTTTTGCTCAGTCTCTCAGTTGTGTCTCTTTGCAACGCCATGGACTGCAGTTCGCCAGTTTCCTCTGTCCACGGAATTTTACAGGCAAGAATACTGGAGTGGGTTGCCATTTCCTATTCTGGGCAATCTTCCCAACCCAGGGATTAAACCCACATCTCTTGCATCTAGGTAGGTCAATTCTTTACCACTAGCGCCATCTGGGAAGCGCCTAAAGGGCTTAAGTTTAAATATGGAAATGACTGGCCAAGAGGTAAAGAGAACTGAAGTGTGTTTCAAACACAAACTAACATATTTTCAAACACATTCACCTTGGAGACATAATAACCTCACATTGGACTATGATATTACAGTTTACAAAGGCCTTTCTCATTCTGTCTGTTACAAGTGCTAAATAGGACATAGCAGAGTCCCTGTTTTATTAATTAAAAAAAAAAAGTCATTCTACAACTAGGCCCAAAGTCACATTAGTAAGTGACGAAAAAGTGAACTAAGTTACATCTCCTGAGACTAGTGCTCTTTTCCCAAAAAGTTTTGTTGTTGTTGTTTTAGTTGCTAAGTTGTTTCTGACTCCTTTGCAACCCCATGAACTGTCTCCTCTATCCATAGGATTTCCCAGGCAAGAATACTGGAGTGGGTTGCCATTTCCTTCTCCAGGGGATCTTCCCAACCCAGGGCAATGAACCCAAGTGGTGTACTAGATTGGCAGACAGAGTCTTTACCACTGAGTCACCACGGAAGCCCTGCAGCAAGTTTACTGCCTAACAATTTTGACTTAACATTTTACACAAGACACCCAAGATTGATAAAATTAGACTACCCTTATTTTTTTTTTTCATACTCTGTTCAGTGAAACCACTTCTTTCCAGAATCTAATTCAAGGCTGGAAGCAGAAAAAATAATATTCAAGATTATAAATAGCACTGATGATCTTGAAAAGTGGTCAGGACATGGTCATACAGTGTTCCTACACAAGCATTCCCTCTTGGTGTGAGATGTGTACACACCTGATTATAGAGAGTGACCAGCTTGCTCTGGGTAGAACTACCTGCTCTGAACAAGAATTAAATGGCAGAAACCATATTAAAAGATCAATAGACTCACCATGTACCTTCAAAGTTATTACATTTCAACACTCAAGGCCACAGCCTTGGGAAATGGGAACTAAGCTGGAACAAAAGAGAAACAGGTCTGAAACCTCAAGACTGCTTTCATTTCATCCAAAGAGAGATTGTTTGATGCCTGATATTTAAGACACAATAATCAGGACAGAAAAACTGCTCTCTCTGCTCTCTGTAATAATCAAAGCTGTAATTCTTAATACCTTCTCCACTTGTATTACAGAAAACTTGTGAAGTCATGTTCAACCCTTTCTGATATTAGACACACATGTTGTGCCTTTAAAGTAACATGGAGCCTCCGGGTTTCCAAGAAAAGACAAATAAAGCCTGTCCTTACAACAGCCACTAAATGTCTGAGAAGGAACCCTCCTCAACATTATTTCCTTTGTTGTTTCAATTTTCATTTCAGACTAACCCACGCCCATCACATCTGCACTCAGACTTCACAGCACCATTTTTGGCCACTCTGGTCCTACCCTCCAAGTCCACTTCTGCTTCACATGCTTCTCACCCTCTTTCCTGGCCCGGGGGTATGGGTACCCTTACTGTTGTACTCAACTCCCACTGACATGACATGAAGGGGATGGGACCTCAGGAACCTGGTAAAATGATGGTACTTATATGCGGAAAATCTCAACCAGAGGAAATGCATCCTCTGATTTAAAAGAATGTCTAATGTAATTCTATAAAACTGGACAGTCAGCAAACAAAATTTAATTCGTTTGTGTGAAAGGATTGCTGGTTAGTGTTTTCCTTCTTTTCTCTTTATTTCTACCGGTTGTTGTATGAAGCTATTTATACAATTTAAAATAAATTATAAACAGCTCAATCCAATTCACTGAGACTGCTGAGAGAAATGTTCAAAGCACATATTTAATAATTGCTATGTACACATAATCTACCCTACCCACAGACTGCTCTGGACTCTCAGACACAATCAATAATACATCTACCCTTTAAAACTAAGGAAGATTTGAGTTTCTTCTATTACTTGGCACTCATGAGAAATAACATTTGAGGGAAAAACGTTTGTCAAAGTCAGTCCTTGACTTGAAATATGTCATATAATTTTAAAGGCTTGCAAGATGTGTCTTGTCACAGAAGTTAAAACTATAAGATGTCTTTTTTCACTTGTCAAGTTGACTTTTACACAAAATTGTGCCCAGAGTTTGTAAGAGAATGAAGAAATAGACAGTCCATACTCTGCTGGCAAAAGTGTAAAAGTGTAGCTCTTATATTGAGCACTTTGCTCTACTCAGCCTTTACATGAATTATCACATTTACTCTACACAGACCCAGATATGAGGCAGGTGGTACTACCAGCCCACTTAACAGATAGGGAAACTGAAGCCTGGAGATGTTAACAATTTCCCCAAGGTCACATGGCTGATGACAGATTCAGAACTGCAGAACCAGTACTGTAACAAAGGCCTTTCTAATCTCAACTCTCAAGTTCTTAATAACATTAGAAGATCTTTCTAGAGAGTAACTTGGCAATACTTAACAAATAGCCCTAAGAAACATTTTTATCCTGATAGGGAAATTTCATATCTAAGGAAATAGTAACTTATGTGGTTTATATACAGGGGTGTCATCACAATGCTATTAAAATGGAAAAAAAAGAAATAACCTAAATTGCTTACAATAAGGGCCTAGTTACATACATTTTAGGAGACTTCTACAATGAAATATTCTACAGACATTACAATGGTGTTTATGATGTACATTTTAAAACTCAAGGAACCATTCAGGAAGGATTAATGGAAAAAGAGCAAAACTGTTCCAGTCTTGTATAGTCACACGTGTGCTTATGTGCTAAATCACTTAGTCGTGTCTAACCCTTTGTGACCCTATGGACTATATCCCGCCAGGCTCCTCTGTCCTCGGGATTCTCCAGGCAAGAATACTAGAGTGATCACACGCAGAAAACGATATACCCAAATGTTCATAACAGTCAACCCTGAGTGTGGCTCTTTCTCTTATTTTCCTGCATATTTTCTACAATGAACACGTATCACTTTTATAAAAAGATAAAATCACAGTGTATTTTTTTAAACAACAAAAGGAATGTCACAGGACACATTAATTAATCCAAATTTAGGAACTAGAGTGAGTGAGAAAATAAAGAATGGGAGAAAAATAAAGCTTCCATTTGTAGATTTTAGCTATTAAATATTTCTCCAGCTAAGATCTTTCTAATCTGTACATCAGAGGCCTCCTGACATAGGCTGTGATTTGATTCACTTTGTGTTGTCCTCAGATTTCCACCTCGTTGATCTAATGATGCTGTGAGCTTGACATCCAGGTGGATGGAATGGATAACGGAATAATTATGCATGCTTCTGCTGATAACAAAGGAATTTATTAAGAGGAAAATAAAAGCATCTTCATAGACCCGTCAAATTTCAGGGAGGGGCAAAACTATTGTTATTCAAGTATTCAATTCATGTTATCACGCTTAATACTTCAGCATGAGTGAAATCTAATTTATGACACAGCGGAGCTGAATTTTTATATGTTAATAGAAGATCATGGACCTTGCCTTAATCAGTATTCACCAATAGTCTGCATTTATATTCATTTTACGGAATCAGTAGCAGAATGTTATCACTTTCAGTAGTTACTGAGATTTATGGCTTTGGTTTCTCTGCTTTCATGGCACTATTCTGTCAGTAATGTTCTGTTTGATGCTGAGTTCTTGGTCAGGAAACACTGTTGCCCATTGCTCCAACGGGAAACCACAGGATCCACTTCAAATGAGCTTTTCCAGGAAATCCCTGCAGGTAAAGAGCATTGGCCCGGCCCGAGCAATCCCTTTAAAGCATACTTTCCGTCATGGGAGCTTTTAATTAATGTACCTAGAAATGCTTTTCTAATTTATCCTCCCTGCCCTTGGCATCTTTCCTGACAGCAGAGAGGTGCAGGCAGGACTCTCGTTCCATGGAGTTTGCACAGGTGCGGAGGTATGGAAAAGGATGCCAAGGGCTATCACAGGGTCCCAAAGAGCTGGCGCCGTGCTGTTCTATAATGTCACATACCAACTGCCTCCCTTGTCTATCCATTTTATGTGCATGTGCCGTGTGCCATGTGTCAATAAGACCCTTTGAACACCTTTCCTCATAGCACCCAGCGGAGTACACGTGTCAGCA